GAAACTGATCTTGCTATAGGTATTTCAACTTCTGATCGGCAAACACTGACATTGATATTCTACGAGAAAGACAAAATATGTACTTAAAAGTATAAGTACTTGTACAAGGAGGCAATACACGGATTGAATTCTAAGTGTTATTGTTATTAGTACCTAAACATAGACGATTAGTTAGTTCTGTGAATGCAATGGCGTTTATTTATAAATTGTTAGGCACGGTTTCCTGCCTGACTGCTTACTTAGAAATGGTGAGTTTGTTAGAGATATAAGTAACATCAACATCCGTAACACAAGAAATAGACAATTTAAGCAATATCAATAATAGGTAGGTATGTAGATTGTTAATATAAGACTCAAAACTATTTATTTTGCAGGATTATACTGACTGACTAGTAGCGGGGTAGGTATGTACCTATAATTAGTAATTACTAAAATCAATAAGATGAGCAAAAACACAAAAAAAACAGATGTCAAATTTTTGACATAACGCTTCCTAGACAAATAACTACCTAATTAATGATTGTCATTGTCATTTCAAACCATATGAATTCATTTTAATAAATCTTGATATTTTTTCAGGTTTTAATATCTATTTTTTTCAATTTTTCAATTTCAAAAATGTCCCAATGAAACCTATTGAGATTTTTGAGTTTTTTTTTTATATTTTTTTGTTTTTTTAAAAATTTTTTTTTTGTATTATATAAAGCAAAATGAGCTCTAACCAATCAATGAAAAAAAGATCAATAACGTCATATCTTGGAGAGGATTTTTTTTTTCCAATATCTCCGTTTAACTTTTCCCTACACGTCTTTTTATACCTATTTCCAAAATTTCATCAAATTCGATCGAGCCGTTTTCTCAGAAAAATGCACACACATACATATGCGAGTATCTGATACCCCAAAAATAGAGACGTGACAGCGACGCAAAAAGGATTTGTCCAAAACCATAGTTGATCCCTTGGTTTTATTATTTAGGTTGTATGATTCACTGTTTATGACCCGACCCATTGTAACTTCGGTAACATTGAAAGGGCTCTTCAAAAAAACAGTTAGGTTTTAGGCTAGGTAGTTTTAGTGATTTTCGACACGGACTTGCATTTTGTTCAGCTTCTTGAAAGCATCGTCGCCCTAATATTTTTGTGAATTTGAAATAAACTATTTTTATTGTCGAAAGTCTAGCGTTTTCTTACATCAGAAGTGGGATAAATTCACCACAAGTTTACTAGTGCCGAAAATTAAATTGCCAAGCGCGAGTTTTGTGATTATGGAGCAATTAGCGAAAGTGCTAGCCGCGACGCTCTAGAAAATAAAAGAAGTTTTTCCAAATTCGGATCCTGTGTTGGCGACCGAAATTCCTAGTGACATCTTTATGAAGCAAGCAAGCGAAGTGCCGCCACTTTTTCTGGAGGAGGCCAAGGGATGGTTTTCTATGTAAAAGCCTGTGGAAAAATCATGGGGTGCGAGTTTTCCAGCCTTGTTCTACTAGACGGAATTGAAAAGTAAAGCTTTTCAAGTCACTATACCATTAAACCGAAATCCTTCTGTGAGTAGGTATGCTTGAAAAAAAATTATGTTTTTCCATTTATTTATTTCGATCCTTTGATTGACAGAATATTAGAAATTGTTTTTAGAATTCGCTAATATTCACGTAAAAACTACAGCGTTCAGTAGTAATTAGGAACATTGGTTCACTCAGTGATTTATTTATCAATGATATTAGAATTGAGAAATGTCTGAGTTAAAAAAAAGAACACAAAATTTCCTTGATTTTATGGGGGAATTTCGAAAAGAGTAATTTTCAAATTTTATTATTTTGTTAGATGCCAACTTATTGTAAATTAAAATTAACTTTTTGATAGAGACTTGAGCAAATTTTGAACTACTTTAGAAACTTCTGGAAAAAAATAAGATGTCATTTAGACTCAGTTTTATTAACGTTAAAAGGCATGGGGAATGGTTTAGTCTGGAAATTAAAGATAAACATTTGCGTAATCCATTCCAGGATTTCAGGAAATCAATTTTTGTTGAATAGATTGATTTGTTTACTGCAATATTATGATAGAATGTTCGATCCTTTGGATCTAGAATTTGATGTTCGGGATTTTGACAAACCTCCCATTTATCTTGCTAATAGTTAGTCGATTAGCCCCATTAAGATTTTTCAGTTTTCACGACGAATGTGAAGTTGGTAATTAAAAAAAAAACCGTTTTTTTTTATTACCAATTTTTGTTTTGAAATTTGTGAAAATGTAATGTGACCATTATTATCTCGAATGTATTGTAAACAAAGACAACATGGGTCCCATGACTCATGAAGGGTTTATTGCATCTTATCGACAATGAGCCGATCCATTTTCAGGTATATAGTCTATGCGGACTGTGTAAAGCCTTTTCCAGTGACTATCAAAAGTTCTTGTTATTTTTTTTACATTTGAAAAAGTTTACAGCTTTTGATTAACTTATTTACAGAGTTTATATTTTCCTTGCATGTGAGACTTTTGCTGCACATGAAAGATGTGAGCTTTTAAACTAAAAAATTGAAAGTTAGGACGTTTTGCGTCTTATTCTGTGTTGAAAGCTCGTATATTTTGCATGATTATATTAGCGGAGGTGAACCATTGACTGTACTGTGTCTTGATACGATTGGTTCTTGGATAAGTTTATCCAGTTCAGCGGAAAATTGGTTTAGTCGACGCTGTGCCACGTTTAGATCAACGATGTTGATTTTAGATAGTTTAAGAGATTTCAACCTGGCAATTGAAGATTCACTGGCAGTTATTTCCAGCAGTCATAGGTAATTTCCACTGGATGGCTTTTATAGGTGACGTTTCTGTATTTTCAGCTAGATGCCTAGCATGAATTCTGGAGTTTGTCACAAAGGCATTGTATGTTGGTTGGAGCTTGAGCACTGTGTTGATATTGATTGTTTTTGTCACACTGTTTTTGCCATCACATCTGACAATGATTGGAAGGGATGATGATAATGTTATGTCAGTAGTTTGTGTCTAGTTCTTGCACATTTTAGTCACTAGCGAGAAAGATTGTGTATATTAAGACATTCAAAGCATGCACGCTTTGTGTGTTGTTCTGTGTTGAAAGCTTCTACACTTCGCATGAATTATGAAAACGTTGAAAGCTCGGACGCTTTACGTTGTAGCTCTATGTTGAAAGCTTGTACGCTTTGCATGAAGTATGGAAACGTTGAAAGCTTGCACGCTTTGCGTATTGTTGTTTGTGTTGAAAGCTTATACGCTTTGCATGAAGTACGAAACCATTAAAAGCTGGATGGTGTGTGTTGTATGATACTTTGAGTTCTACGATAATATATACTCTGCTACGATGATATACTTTGAGTTCTACGATGATATAAACTCTGATTTCTACGATGATATACTTTGAGTTCTACGATGATATATACTCTGATTGCTACGATGATATACTTTGAGTTCTACGATGATATATACTCTGATTTCTACGATGATATACTTTGAGTTCTACGATAATATATACTCTGCTACGATGATATACTTTGAGTTCTACGATGATATATACTCTGATTTCTACGATGATATACTTTGAGTTCTACGATGATATATACTCTGATTTCTGCGATGATATACTTTGAGTTCTACGATGATATATACTCTGATTTCTACGATGATATACTTTGAGTTCTACGATGATATATACTCTCATTTTTACGATGATATACTTTGAGTTCTACGATGATATATACTCTGATTTCTACTATGATATACTTTGATTTCTACGATGATTTAATTTTCAGTTACTGTGTAGATATGGTTTGAATTCTACGTATTTTCATTATCTTCGGTTGTGTCGTTCACGATCGGCCTCGTAGTCGGCTCACAGCTCCATAATTGCTTAATGACAAAACAAAACCGGAGCTGCTGCCTTTTTTTTTTTATTGTTTCAGATTTTGGCAGTTCTCCTGTTAATTCGAGAGCGAATTATGTGTCAGGTTGGCCGTGCGAGTATCTGATACCCCAAAAATAGAGACGTGACAGCGACGCAAAAAGGATTTGTCCAAAACCATAGTTGATCCCTTGGTTTTATTATTTAGGTTGTATGATTCACTGTTTATGACCCGACCCATTGTAACTTCGGTAACATTGAAAGGGCTCTTCAAAAAACAGTTAGGTTTTAGGCTAGGTAGTTTTAGTGATTTTCGACACGGACTTGCATTTTGTTCAGCTTCTTGAAAGCATCGTCGCCCTAATATTTTTGTGAATTTGAAATAAACTATTTTTATTGTCGAAAGTCTAGCGTTTTCTTACACATACATACATACATACATACATATATACATACATACATATATACACACAAACGGAAATGTGCCACCTTGCCAAAAAGGCTTAAAATGATCCAAAACGTCAAGATCTAATGAAATTTTGACATGGTCAAAATCGGGCTATCACCATAGCTTCCTATCTAGGAAGCTAAAAAACACGCATCAAACTTCAACGATGTTATTGTCTAAATATAACTCATAAACAAAGTCTGAATTGGAAGTAAAGTTATATTGAAATTAAACAAGGTGAAAAATATAAATTCAAATAAATATACGGGAGAATATGACAATTGTTATGTCGTAAATACACTTGTTATTATAAAATATTGGGTAGTTTACTCAAGGCACTTCCATTTTCCACTTGAAATTCAACGTTATTTCAATATAATATTTATTATATTATACACACTATGCTTATGTCTTATCAATTCTCTAAGAAGTTGACATTGTATAACTCAAGATCAGGGTTTTCCAATAAAGAAAGGATTCACGTTATGGTATGGCCCACTTTCCGCCAAAACAGGAATTTTATAAGTTTATCACCCAAAACGAAAGAGAAAACACATGATCAGTAGTATGTATTGTACGAGGTCTAAACCTCTTAACCAATTGACGACCTTCTTTGCTGACCATGGCTGGACGCTGGACTGCGTCATAAAATACGTAATTTTTATAAAATAATCACTTCAAATAGGTCGTGCTGATATTCAATAGTCCGCGAGAAGCAGAGATACATGTTTACTGGATGCCGGCTCGTCTTGTTTATTTTTCAAATTTGATCTGAGTTTTGTTTTGTAACAACAATGTGCAAGTGTGGTTATTTGTCGGTTGCATTTGTCGCACTTTTGTCTTTAGTAAATAGCCAAGGTACGTAACAATTTTTTGTATTTATAATATATCTATAATTTGGGATAAAATAAGACTCACAACAAACAATATTCAATAGTAACTCCGCTAAATTTCATTTATTTATCTTCAAAAGTCATAAACATAAAACTAAACTCACACTTTTTTTCAATGCTTATCTATACATATCATATTTTTAAAAAGAAATTTCTAAAAAGTGTATTTTCTAGTACATTTTCTGGGACAAAAAGGTCTTTTCTGTACGTCGCAAAATTAAGCTGCTATCAACAAATTATTGCATTAGCCCAGTTAACTTTTACTACTGGTACTAATTACAAAGGTTTTCTAGCAATCCTTTTGGAAAAAGTCCATAAAGCTGGAGCAAGTAAATTCGAATATTGCCTTATTATCATTTTCACTCTCTTATCATAACTGCTCTCCGTGACAAATTTTGGAAGTATATTATAAATAAATTAGAAATTAGTGACATTGTTTTCTTTTATTGTTACTTGTTATTACTAACAGTTAATAATTGGTCGCCCTCAAACCCTTAGAAACTGCATCTATCTGAAAGAGACAACAAGGTTGGTTTACTTATGTGAAGACATGATTTTAGACTTGTTTTACAATTATTTTTAATAATTGTAACTTCTCGACAAGTGAAGTATCTCCGTTGATGATTATCTTTGATTTTTGCCCGAGTCCATATGTTGTCTTGACTCTTGCCTCTCCCATACATAATGAGCAATTCCAGATTTGGTGGTTTTTCAGTTTGTGTTCTATTACTCGTTTTGTCTCTCCTTTTATGCTTCTTTAGTATTTCTACAAATCTGTATCTCTGTATCTATATGTTTAGAAGGGTGGTGTGCCACAGCACTTATTAGGCCCATTGTGCACCTCCACAAGGCGATGATGTCGCCGAAGGCCGTGCCTCTGATCCTGATCTCTTGTAGGGATGAATACGATGGCCTAATGTGGCTCTGCGTATTGCGTATTGGGGAAAGAGCAGTGCAGTCAGTCACAAAGAATGTGCTCCATCGTCTCTTCTTGATTACAAGCCCTTCACAAGGGTGCGGTATTTGGATGCAACCTAAATAAATGTTTGTTTAAATGGCAGGGGCCAGTGAAGATGCCCGTTAGTAGGCGAAGCCTTCAACAGCAGCAGCTTTATCTAGGTAGCTTAGCAGTTCCTTAAATAAGTTGCAGCCAATGGTATCGTCCCAGCGCTTTTTGGAAAGGGTGTGGAAGAGTTCGTTGATCATATCTTTGGTGGCCGACATGGTCAGCCCCACGAAGGGATCTGGTTCAGAAGACTGTCGTTTGGCGGCCCTCCTAGCCAGAGCATCGGCAGCCTTATTGCCTTTGCTGTGATCATGTGCTTTGATCTAGCTGTCCACCACCGTGTTTTTTAGCGACGCCTCTGTAAGGGTACGGTGGCAATGTTGTACTAGTGCAGACTTGAGTCGTGGTCTTGCTTAAACTAGTAGGTACTGCTTGTCTACAGTCCGTTTGGATGTGCACGAACATGTCAGTGATATTGTTGCTAACTTTCCGTTCTGCACCGACGGTTATGGCAGTAATTTCCGTGTCTTGGAAGACATTTGGCATGGAGCCAAGAGCTTTAGTTAGGTTCAGTTTGGAGGCTTTGAAGTAAACTCCGCATTCTGAGCCTGTTTCAGTTTTGGATCCGACAGTGTAGATGTTACTCACGCCTACCACTGTGCTGCTACCAATGCCTTCCGTGTCGATTGCCTAGTGCTTTTTGAAGACGAAATATGGCGTTTCAGAGTCCACGCTAGCTTGCAACAGTGGAAGCGAGTTCGTTGCCTCGCGCCATATGCGGGCTCTCTGTAAACCGACTTCTGCACTTGGTTCGATACCAACAGTGCGGAAGCGCATCATTGTGGTTAAAGCGACCTCCTTCACATAAATGTCCAGGGGCTAGAAGTTGGTGTTCACTTGGGTCAAGGGGTCTAGAAGAGATGTTCTGCAAATTGTTCTGCTCCATAAAATGGGAGTATAGAGTCCTCTACGTCAATGTGTTCTTTGTTTTTTTCGACCCTCTGTCTTAAGTCTTTACATAGTCTGGTTTTATTCCACCTTTGGCAGTTTATTCGAATTCTAATGACCGATATGCTTGCATTTTCCAAGATTTTAGGAGCTCTTGTTCCGTATATCGGCGATCTCAACTTAAAACCTTCTGTTATGATTTTGTTGTCCCTCGCTTAGTACAAAGAAATGCTTGGTGATTTCGATTTTGGTTTTCTCGTAACCCTGGAGGTAAACTTGTTCCGAAGTTCATCAGATGTCCATACTGAGATTCTCATGTTTTTTTGAGATTAATAGGAAACCCGGTATTATTTAAATACGTCATTTCGGATTTGCATTATTATTATTCTATTTCCAATAATTGCGACGTTTCAAGCAGAGAAGTTTATCTGGTCGGTATCAAGCTCAAACTGATACAATAATTATTCATTGCTACTTTTAGGAGGGCAGCACAAATATGTTCTCAGAATTTTGATTTTGCTGTTCCAGGTTTTTTTCAATGTGAATAATTGAAGGTATAGTAAAGTAGATTCAGCAAAGCGAAAAATTATAGCGAATCCTATTGGAAGGGTTAGTGCGCACTGAGTTCATTCGTGTCTTTTTCTAGCAGCTTGTATAAGAAAAAGATTTTTAAAAAAATCTGCAGTGGTTCTACCAATAGAATTCGCTATTAGATAATATATTCGAAGAAATCGATCATTAGAATCAACGAGTTCTTGGCTCTCGAAATTGAACTTGGAAAAAAAAACAAAGAAAACGTTCACACCATGCTCGTTATATTTCTACCTGTAAATATTTGTAAAAATTAAATTTATAAGTTTTTCTAAATTTTATGCACGGAAAATTACCGGTCTTGGAAATCATACTTAATGGAGGAAACAATAAAATAACAATAACAAATTAAAAAAGATATGTTATTATGCTTACTAGTTAGATAAATTGAGCTTAACATTTTATGACACATTCCATCAGTTTCGAGCGTCGATAATTGAAGTAATTATACTATTAAAGGGGGTGTGCGCCAAAAATTAAAGTTTTAGTGTAAAAAAATCTAAGAATAACTGTTCAAACCTAGTTATTCTACGATAAACCATCGCTGAGATATACCGCTGTAAAGTGTGGACGACGCTCTCGTGACGTCACGAAAACTTCGTCCAGCGGCGCTCTGCATTGTTAATTTGATTGTGCCCGGCACGCGCGAGTGGTTTTTGTTTAGATTATTGCAGGTAACACAGGAAAAACATTATGTAAATTTAATTAAATCCACTTTCTCGTGCGTCGCTTGAGCTTTCGTGACGTCATAGGGTGAGATGCGGTACCTTCATAGAGCCATATCTGCGGTATTATTTGTCATAGAGGGATGCGGATTTCACTGTTATTCTTAGATTTTTTTTCTCTTTTTTTTGAGATGAAGTTGTTTTTTTGGCGCACACCCCCTTTAACACACTATAAAAAAAATAGTACCGTACATTTTTGTTTGATTTGCCATGCGATCATCATTCGACGGGTTATCTCAATCTGTTCACTATCTTCTTTTTCTTGTGATGCCACCAATGGATATTTTCGATCCATTTTCAATTGCTTTTCTTTGCGGTGTGTATCAACGACTCTACATCGTGTAGCCCTGTCCACTGTCTGATGTTTCGCAGCAAAAAAAAAAAATTCCCTCCGATTCCTCTTTGACCTCTTTTGCGTTTGCCCTCAATAGCTACGTCGCTAAGTTCGGTATTTGCATCGCAGACGCGACATATTTTTGGTCACGTTATCACAGATTAAGGTTCATTCACATTTACTTAACTTAACGTACAGAAAATTATAATTAACGTACGGAACTGAGAAGGTGTGTGTTTACAATGAAGGTAATTTTCTTACGTGACGCATGCGCACTTATAACCTCAACTGTCAAGTCAAATTATATGCACAGAAACAGCAGAAATATATCGCTACAGACGCTACATCGTTTCAGAGCGTTGTGATTGGTGCACTTAACGCACGGATTTCCTTAAGTTGAAGTTGGCCCAACTTTTCCGTGTATTACGTTAATTTTCTTAATTCTTAAGTGGATATAAACAGCTATATACCTATAGTACCTACATGATCTTCAACTTTTCTTTATTATTAATTTTCCGTACGTTAAGTTAAGTAGATGTAAATTACCCTTTAGTCTGAGCAAATTGCAATTAACCAACCAAATAAACAAAGTTCTAACCATCTCTTACCAGCGCTTTTCTCAAACTCAATTTCGAGCATTTTTGCAGGAAAGCGCGTGATTAAGTACTGAGAATTAAATTTTTGTACAAAAAAATAAACACGACGTTGATACTTTCGAGACTACGACTTAATCTCACAATCGCAGATAAATCTCTCTCGTCGATCTAAATACTTCGAGCAAACCTTTGAATATAAAACTACAGGAAGGAGCATAACTTCGAATCTGCGCGACCAAAATACGTGAAGGTTGCATATGGCCGACTATTATTTCCGGTTTGGCAGTGGCGTATATTTATTTAAATATGATTGTCAATATTATGACTCACTCTTTTCTCACTAATCCCAGTGCTTATTATCACTTTAAAATGCTAAAATCTATTAAACATCCACTTGAATGAGGACACAGCGAACCACCAAAACAAATGATGAGTCCATACTTGGAGGCTCAATATGGCCGTTTCCGTCCCTGCGTTGTCTGTAGTGACAGATAGAAAACGCTCCTTCCTGTAGTTTTATATTCAAAGGAGCAAACAGATTCAAGTCCGAGTGGTCTGAGCGGAATTAAGGAACGGTTTAGATTTGCCTCCTCTACATCTAGATGCAGTAAACGAAAGATTCAGATCGAAAAGATTGATCAGACATTAAACCGATTACAGCAAATAATCCGGTGCTTGAGCGATTTTTTTTTTTATTGCGTAATATTAATCTACATTCATTTTTAGGACACCCTTGTTTTTTATTTTGTTCAAATGTTATGACAAACTTCTAAAAAAAATATTAAAATTCTTAATTTAAATTTGAATGTGTGGGAGCGTGTGACGTCATCGACTACAAGAGGCGCAATACCACACGATACCACGAATTGGCGCACTGTCTTTTATGTCTGTTATGTCCCTGTGATTCACGTCAAGGCAATGTTATTATTGTTTGCATTACTCCATCCCTGTAAAAGGATACCTCGACTGCAGGGAAAGGCATTTTGGGTCTCCAAGAAGCTCCAAGGGGCATCTATTTGATAACAAAAATAAGATCTTTCAGTGGCGCCATCCGTTGATGATTCTCTCCAAACACCGCCGGTGGGCGGTGATGTCAGAATATTTTGGCGTCTCTTTGAATTGGAGTGTAGAAATATCAATTTTTTATTTTTTTTTCTACTTTAGTTGTGTCCTTCAAGTACTTATTTTCTCGTTACAAAAGTTTATTTGGATTGCATAAATTGAACAGTGCATTGAAAATAGTTAAATTCAACCATGCTTAAACACCGGATTGACTTTTCTCGCTTCGTATGACGTGTCCCAGATCTTGTTTTTCTCTGTTCACTATAGGTCTGTTCTAACAGAAATTACAAACCAGTCAGAGCGTTTTTGATTGGTGCAAATCGCCAACAAACAGTTTCCTGCTGACTATTTTCAACCAATGAAACTGACTGGTTTGTGATTTATGTGAAAACAGACATTGTCTCTGGATATTTTATCCAGGAAAACTCTACCACTTAACCCTAAATTTCGACACTTGAAATGATGGAGTTGCACTGGTGCCAATAGATAGATAAAAACCAAATGAGTGTGTTCAAAGAAAACCGAAAATGGATTTGAACTTACTGGAATTCTGGAATCACAGAAAATTTGAAATATTAGATTTAAATTAAACGAGCTAAACTTCAGTAGTGAGTTGGGAAGACAACCTCAAGTTTTGGAACCCACAAAATTTTCTGATAGGAATTCCCGATATACCTACGTCCTGCGCCGGTAATGTAATATTGACCGATTCTTAATTTCTTAATAAAATTCGCTGGATTATTTCGTTGGCGAAAATTCTTGTCATCGGGTATACAGGATTCATCATTAAAGGGGGTGTGACCCTAAAAAACGACTTAGGCTACTTAAATCAAGAAAAAAATTCTAAGATCTGTCGTGAAAACCGCAGTCCTATATTCAAAATAGTCTCCGAGAAAATTCCTCGTGAAGATAAATTATGCAGGAACTTGTGATGTCACAACCGCCAAAATCGCAGTCTTCTGTTCGTTCAGTTGTCAGTGAACCGTACCCTATACTTTGAGTGGTTGGAATTCGTTTCAGGAGGTAATTGTCTTTTGTTTTGGAAAATTCTTACACGTGTTAATACTGTCCCTGATAATTCAGTGTGATGTCACAAACACCTAGTTGTAACTTCAAACAGCCCTAACTCGTAAACGGACCATCGTAGCAAGATGCGGTTTAAATATTTGTTCTTAGATTTTTTTGCACTAGAACTTTCATTTTTGGGTGACGCCCCCTATGTACGGAAGACGGGTCAAGGGCTATCACTATATAGTGGGATTCTTCATATTTGGGAGTGGGAGGTCATCTCTGGGGACCCCCATGCGGTGTTGCCAGATGGTGCACCAGAATTGTTCATTAAGTACGAAACGCTGGGTCAGGCAAAATATACTTTGAAATCCTAGGTAATAATGTCACGGCTCTGGGTCCGTTTATTCCAAAAATCAAAGTCCAATTAACACAACAATAATTTATTCCACGTTACTATACACTCTGACAAATTACTTCACTAATCAACTCAACTTAACTCTTCACAACTCTTACAAAATTCACTATCTAAATCGTATCACAGTCAATCTTAAATTAAAAACTACTAACTAATACCGGCCTTTATACAGTGTGTCCACTTAAGTTCGCAGCATATGGGAAACTTTTTTATTATCAATTTAACGAAAAAATGTTATTCTTCATAAATGGTTCAGCTTCTTGAAAAAATTATATTAAACTATTAAAACTTGAAATAGCATGTACAGAGTGGTCAGAAAATAGAAAAATATACAGGGTGTTTCCTAAGTACGGATCGTTACTTCAGGATGAAGTTCCTTACAATATTTTAAGAAAAAAAATTCCCATAAACATGTATCCGGAAATGCGCAGTTTCTGAGATACAGGGTGTCAAAGTTAAAAAAAAGAACCTTTTTTTTATTTATAGCTCAAAAACCCCTTTCTCGATTTTCGATAAACTTGGCAGATTTGTTTGTAATGACAAAAGGTATCAGTTTAGAATGTTTGTGTATTTATTATTGCCTCATCGAAACCAGGGCAATGCTCTAAAACGTAAATGATTATCAAGTGGGTTCTTATCTACATATTTTATATAATTTGCTTATGGAGTTTATATGTCTTTCCACGCCATTCTGACGTTATTACTTGAGCTAGAATTCTCAAATTTGGAATAGGTAGTTGTTCTTTGGGATACTGGCTAGAACCTAACGGAACTAGATTTTTCAATTTCGATCTAGAAAAAAATTAAGGCAAAAAATAGGTTTAAGCGCGTTTTGTCTATGATCGCCACGTCAAAGTCGAACCCCATCCACATTCGTCGCGTCTTCGCACAGAGACAGTGTTGCCAAAAAACTCTTTTCAGTTAAAATAATCGAGAAATTGAAATTGACCTCTAAAAAGAAAGGTGTCGATTTTTCTTCCAGTTGCCTGGTGTGGCGGAAAAAAATAAAACATTTTTCAGTAATTTTTTTTATAGATTCTTTAAATGATCTTCTGTTAATATGACAAACAACTTTATTTGCATTGCCTGGCGGAGACAGGCCTATCAACTAGTATCTATATAACTAAAAGATCAAGATCTCGACATATTTCTATCATAGGCTTGATTAAAAACGATTGAAATTAATTTTATAATGGAGAATATTAATTTATCAAATTGTTTTTCTTTTTTTATTCTTATCCGATGCGCTGTAATAAATTTGATTTTCCAACTTGTAATTTTCGTTCAACAATGGGTAATTTCAAAAATATCCCATCAATCTTTTACTCGGAATGCAATTAAAATTAATAAATATTTACATTGATTAAGTGGGGTAATTGGATTTTAGATACATGGACATATCGACACAAAGATAATAATTGTGGACTATAATTTTCTGGCGAGGTCAAAAAATTTGAATCATTAAACAACATTAGCTAAATTTAGATTTATATAGTTTGCATTATAAAATTTCAAAATTCACAGTAGTACTTACATATCCGACTTGGCGGTCTTTCCCAACAGGTATTTCCCTGCATAAACAAAAATATGTGTTAATTATTAAGATTTTTTTTATTTTGCCTTAAACTTGATTCTTGAATCACCACCAAAGTGGCAAAACTAGATTTGAAATGACCTCATGTATGAAGGTTATGCATGCGAAAAAAACTTAATTAAACTTGATCTTGCTGTAACTTAGGTATTATTACCTAATTGGTTCATTTTATGTGAGATTTTATGAGTTTTAACGAATTTGAACTAATTGAAAGCCGTGTATTGAAAATTTTTAAATATTCGTAACTACAGTCAAATGGAAAAAGACGGTCATTAAAATTACAAACAGTAACTACATAATATATTATTATTAATAGAAAATTTGAATATGTCATCGCGAACTTTTTGTATATGCATACTTCTATGCACGAGTGACTATGTAATGTTCTAAGAATATCAATATTTATAAAAGCAAGATTGCGGGAATTCTAAAAGACAATTATATTATTATTTTAAGGATTTTAAATAAAATTATGAGAGTCGTGGATCCGACACCGCTGTACCGACGCATTTTTTACTCCAAAACTCATTTCCTTCTGTTCTTGTTTAACCTTCGAGGTTTATGAGATAATCGTAAAAATCCACAAACATGAGATTTTTAAAACCTAAAATTGGTATCCAGTAGTTATCTGTAAATCTCTGGTAACGCCGATCGATAATTCACTCGGTTAGATCACCCCTTCAAGGCCAAATTTGTCGAATATTCCAGACACCGAGCATACTGGGTTCGATCAATAGGTAAATATGAATACCGGCAGTTTATTATATGTTAGGTACTTTATGAGACCGTTTCCGTTTCCAATTCCAATGTACCTACCTAGAGCAGTAATTAATTTCAAGATCTTGTCCTATCCAAATAGGTACATATTAAGTATCATATTGTATAATAACAAAATATAATATATGGTATCATAGGTACCTAGGTATATTTTTATGAACCTTCATCAAGCAAAATTCTACACTTTCTGAAAAATGTATTTACTATTGGATGGCGCGAGACAGCAAATGGTTTCAAGTTTGTCCGACAGTTCAATGATGATTTTTATTATTTTACCTATGAACACTAGTTACTGTCAATAGAATCACACAGCCTCTCATCAGTCTCATCTATGTGTGTACAATTTTACGCTCAGCGTGCATTGGTGAAATGAATCACATGGTCACAGACCAATCAGAAGCCAGCGTCAGTCTCCAATGAGTCCAATGTTGTTCCGCGAATGGCTTACTCGTAAGCGCCGAAACGGTGCAGTACCTATTTTTATGGTTCCTTTTTTCTCACAGAAATAAACACTCTTTTATTTTATATTTTTTCAGTGCAGGATGGAAGCCCCTGTAAAATACCAAACGGGCCAAACGGCATATGTATATACGTCTACGAATGCAAAGTTGTGACAGATATACTTTCCAGAAGTAGTTTAACCTTCGAAGCTAGAAATTATGTGAGAAGTCTATCGTGTGGCCAAAGAAATGGAAGACCGTATGTGTGCTGTCCTCAGCTAAGTACTAGAGATACTAATACAATACAGGTAAGTTTGAACAATCAATTTAACTGAAGAAAAACGATTTAATTGTATATTTCCAGCCAGTTAACCCAACTGCAGCTACTGAAGAGGAACTACTTTACAAAGAAAAATTTATTCTTCCGCCAAAATGTGGTCTCAGCAATGCTTCACATCCCAAAGTTGTCGGAGGCATACCAGCTAAGCTAGGTTCATATAATTTGTAGAACTAAAATTAAGCAAACAGATTAAGACGAATATTTTATTGTAGGTGACTTTCCATGGATGGTAGCTTTAGGCTATCAGAATAGAAAAAATCCTAATATACCAAGGTGGCTTTGTGGTGGAACGTTAATTACGTTTAGGCACGTTTTAACAGCTGCGCATTGTGTGCAAAATAGACCAGATTTGTAAGTAAATTGTTGAATCGAATCGATCAACAAGAAAAAAATCAATAATTTTGACAACGAGCAATCATGGGTTGCTTAGATGGAACCCTGATATAACGTCAGGTCAATTCAAAGGTTTTTTTTGCAACGATTTTTTTTTTCGCCAGTGTCGGTTTTGGTTTATTATTTAATTTTTTTTTTTTAAATTGTCGATTTTCAAAAAAAAAAAAATTCCTACCCAAATGAATTTTTCAGGGATGATAGGGGGCAGGTGGGTGATCATAAAACCGAAAATATCACACATGCACCCCTCTGGCGTTTTGCGCTATAGGGGTTGAAAGTGCGCCATTGACGATTACTTGGTACCTATTGATTTTACAAAAAAAAAGTTTTAAATAAAAGATGTGCTACATTATTTGATCTACAATGCTTATCTGAAGACTTTTTTGATTAAGGGCCGTCTGTGGTCATAAGGACCGTTTGAAATTTATGATGAAAATAAAAAATTTTAACCGAAGGACGTGTTCCTCCGCTGAATGAGGGTGAGTTACAAAAATTTTATAAGAGAAAAATTGTAGGAAATGTAATCTTATAAAACTTTTATTAAGAAAATGTTTTTGTAAAAAAATAAAAAAACTTTAAACTACCCCCATTGAAAAACGGCCGAGGGTGAGTAAAAACTTCATAAAGCAAAAAGGTTGTACCTATAATATGTTGTAGAAATTTTTTTCACGTTGGTTAAATTTTTTTTATTTTCATCATAAATTTCAAACGGCCCTTATGACCATAATCAAAAAAGTCTTTAAACATTGTAGATCAAATAATGTTGCAAAAAATATTTAAAATTAGAATGTATTCAGTTGAATTTTATTGAGTGATAAAAAAAAAACCTAGTCTTAAACCTTGTGATTTCAAGTTGGATAGCACACGACTTAAAAAAAAAAACACATAAAATCACTTCTTAAGTAAAAATTGTTATAACTACAAAATTGAAAGTGCTCAAGATGACTAAAATAGTACTAGTTCCGTCTATTTTTAAATGCGTTTACTCGAAAACCACTGCATCAAATTCAAAAAAATAGGCACCGTTGAAAAGAGAATTCGATGACCTTTGAAATGAGGTATCGCTCGACCCCTACTGCCATTTAAGATCTAGGGGTTGGCGCTTACCACCGCGAGAGGGTTGAAGTGACAACATTGAAAATATGTGCAATAATAAAAATCGAGGGGTCCAAGCGCACAGGTGAGAGTATTGTGATAATTTAAAATTCCATCTCTTGTAAAACAACACTCATCGGTAGATAGAATAGATTGTACAAAATTCGGATATCTTTGGATTTTCTGGAGGAACCATTCACAAAAACGAACTCTGCCTGCTTCCTGGAAAATATCCAGGAGACAATGCCTAATGCCTGTACAGGCTGTACATGATACGGGTAAAGCAAATTTTGTCGGAGGGTCCGATGAACACTTGTCGAACAATGGGATCGAGTGCTTATTACAGGGCTATCTCCCACTATCCCTAAAATCGTAAAATCTGTTCTTCATCGGCAGGTGTCACGATTCTCTGTAGAAACAAACATTATCTGCATATTCGTTTGTAAACATTTTATTTTCAAAAAATAATGAATTACGCGCGTTTTCATTTTTCAATACTCCAAGTAACTGACAAATCAATAATCAATTATCGGTTCAACTACCTGAATCACCGCTATTTTTTTTTGTGCTTGTTACCAGATGTTTAGAAAACGAAATTAATTTTTAATCATTATTTTGGACTAAAAATGCATAATTACTTAATAATTAAATGTGATTAATTTTTTTAGATCTCATAATAATTACAATTTTCATTATCTCTCAAATATTCGTCAAAAAATGTCAAAACTTCAAAGGCGTTTTTCTCAACAGTGGTTGAGTTTGAACCCCTTGTTGTATAAACTTTTTTTTGATAAAAATGGGCCATATTTTCAAGTGTTCAAATCTTTGTAGTCAAGCATGATACACCCTGTAGAGTGTAGAATACTCACATAACAAAAAACGGAGCGATGGTGATAGTAATAGCCGATAAAAGCATCAGGCAATATTCATCTGTGTCAAAAGTCGAGAAGAGGATCCTCATGATTTTGTTGTTTACGCGGTTGTTTTTAAAGTTTCAACATTAAAATACAGTATGCAGTAGTATAGTGAAATTAATTAAACAGTGTATGCACGTGATCAAAATTAATGACATAAGCACGTCGCAATGTTGCCGCTATTAACTTTCGTTTTACTTTGACATACCATGTCTAGTAAAATTTGTTATCACAACAAATACAAAGCAAACGAACATCGATTTTTATATGTATAGATAGTGTATTATGAATACAATCAAAAAAAACTACTCACTTTTCGTCGTAAATTTGATTGGGAATAGAGCTAACATCAAGGTGATCTTGATTCGTTAACCCGCTTCTTATGTGGACGTTTTTTCTTTGATAAATTCCACGCTAAATTATCCCTAACTTTCACATTGGATTTTACTCACAGTGATTATACCAATATTCAGTGCAGCTGCAACACGCTGGAAAAATATTCCCAATTAAAGCCTCAGAAGATTTATATTTGATAGTATCAATATACTTCACCTTTTTAACGCTATTTAATGGCAAAAAGGGGCCCCCATTATCTCGTTCCTGTTCAAAGAAACTAATGAGAGACGCAACGAGTTTCTGACTCTGACTATTCAATGACTTTGGCATTTTATAGATATAGACTGTGAGATAGGGGCTGTTTAGTGGAGTCATTTTTTTTTGTCTGGCATTTTGAGGGCTGAATGTGGCTCTTAAGCTGACGAGAATATGGGTGATTTTAATGCCGGCCTCCCGTTCGAAAATTTGCAGATGAAAAAAATTGATTTACATCAAGATTTTTTTTTTAATGGTCTCAAATTTTCTGGCTTTTAAATAAAAGATTGACATTGATAAATAATTCACCCATGAAAAATATCAGATGCTTTTCAATAGCTGAAAAAATGGGGATGGGTGTCAACTGCCAAGAGAAAAGAAAAGAACCTTCCGCGTTTACTTTTTGTCTGGCAATCGAGAGAATGAAAGGTTTTGTTGTGAAAATAACGCTGAAAAATCGCCAGACGGTAATCACAGTTCGGAATCGAGTTTTCCAGCGAAACATTCTGTGGACATTTCGAACAGGAGGCAGGCATTAAAACCACTTATATTCTCATCAGCTAACTAGTCACATTCATCCCTCAAAATGCCAGACAAAAAAAAATGACTCCACTAAACAGGCCCTATCTCAGGGTCTAATACACAAATAGAAATAATTTCAAATTATTAAAATCAGTAAACGCAGATTTGCAGCAATATTTGGCAACATAACCCACGAGTGCCAATCTAAATGTCATTTTATCGGCCGATTCGGTTAAATGTCAACAGTGTTCTGTCTTTTTTTAACTAAAGTTAAATAAAAAGGAGAATGAGCTCTCAGCTGAAACGAATTTTAATTTCTTACAAAATGCATTTGGCAATAACTTCGACGTCATTGATCACGTGCATACACTATTTGAATAATTTCACTATATCACTAGTTTGTCTCACAGCCCAAGTTTGATATCATAAATATTGTGTTCCATTATTATTTGATCATCCTGTATTTCAAAATCACTAAATTCAACCATTTTCAGGTATATAGCGAGAGTCGGAGAATTAGATTTATATGTGGATGACGATGGGGCAAATCCCAAAAATGTACGAATTACCAATGCTAAAGTTCACGAAGAATTCAGTAGTACCAAATTTATCAATGATATAGCTATATTGACCCTTTCAGAAAGTGTTGAAGATGTGGCTGGCGTTACGCCCATTTGCCTGCCATTTGAAGATCACATAAGAACCAAATCGTATGTTGGTGCACAACCAATGGTCGCTGGATGGGGAGCTATAAATTTTAGTAAGTTTGGAAAGAAAAATCGTGCAAATTATCATATCTGATATACCTACCTATTTGTAGATGGTCCTTCAAGTTCAGTTTTGCAAAAGGTCAAAATTCCAATAATAGATAACAGTCAGTGTGAAAAAGTCTTTGCAAAGCAAAGTATAATTGATGACACAATTATATGCGCTGGGTATAGCGAGGGTGGCAAAGATTCTTGTCAGGGAGATTCAGGCGGTAAGACCTCTCACATTGCACCAAATTTGAAATTATAAACTGATCTTCTCTTAGGTCCCCTAATGTACGGAACTTCGAACCGTTCAGAAAGAGGTATATTGTTTTATCAAATAGGGGTTATATCTTATGGTCGTCGATGCGCAGAAGCTGGTATACCTGCTGTTTATACTAGAGTAACAAAGTTCCTGAACTGGATAGGAAAAAATTTAGACTAGAAAAACTATATTATAAAAAAAAATATATATTCAACAGAATATCGGTGAAAGAGCTTTAACAGTGTATTAAAAATAAGACTATACGTTTTTTTATCATTTAGGTCTAGACTTTTTATAGGATAGAAATGTTACATATGAGAATGAAACACAGCAAACTGAGAAAATAATATCTTATATTATATCTAAATAGGTAGGTAATCATTGGTTGATCGTTATATAATATATGAATTAATGGAATATTTATTATTTGTATCTACTCATTAATATGTATTTTTTTAATAAATAGACTTGGCGCTTTAGTGTACTAATTTTAAAATTTTCCTAAGTTACACTGTCAAAAAGATAATACCAAAAATAACATACTAAGGGTTTCAAATGCTTAATAAAAAAAAATCTTCTTCGTTCATTTGCAACGATTTTATAATAAAATAAATTAAATCAAATTTTTGTAATACAATTTTGTTCTGATTAGGCGGAAGAGTTTCGCAAACGCTCTACGATTTCGAATATAATGCAAGAAGTTCGAAAAAAAATCGTTCGTTTCAGGGGATCTAACGTGATCTGGACCCAAATTTTCTATTTAAAAATTTGAATGATAGTTACTTTGAGAGTACCATATTACACCAACATAGTTTTATTAAGTCAATTTAGATTAATAAAAAATCTGCCTTTTCGCCCTCAAGAAAAAAAGAAAACATTTATACAGGGTGACTCAGAGTGAATTTCCCTTTTCGAACGCGCCCTGTACATTCAACTTAATATTTGTGGGGGTTAGCGCTAGCAATTTGCGATGACTGCATGCGGAACGGATTCCCCTTGGATTATCAGTAAACATGGAGCAGTGGTCGAACGAGCAACGCGCGTTTATGGTCGAGGCGTTTTTTAAATCGAACGATTTCAACAGTTACAATATTGAGGCGTATACGTGATGCTCCATCAAAAAAATTATGCAAATCGTGGGTTCAAAGATACAAACAAAGTAGTAGAGTGGTAATAATCCGAGGCGCTCAATTCGCAAACATGATCGGGACGCTTCTGATTTGCTACTGTTCCACTTTGTCTGAATTTTTGAACCCACGATTCGAATAAATTTTTTGACAGAGCATCACGTATACGCCGAATATTGTAACGGTTACAGAAACGTCGCCGTGTCGTGACTTAGGAATCGTTCGATTCAAAAAACGCCTCGACCATAAACGCGCATACAGTTCGATGTACAGAGCGCGTTCGAGACGGGAAATTTACTCTAAGTCACTCTGCATTTACACTATCAGGTAAATTATAGGGCAAAAAATTAAATAGTTTCACCTATTTATTTATTTTTCTCGAAGGGGCGGTTTATTCACCTTCTGATGAACTGTCAGGTATGCAATCTGACGGCCAGTTAGTTGCCGACTAATAGAATTATAGAACGGTAAATTTATCTTGCAGATAGTTCGAAAAAATAGTTCATGGCTCAAAGAGACCTGTGTTATATTTGTGAAAAAAACACCAAGTCGTGGTCTGAAAAATTTTTAATATCAAGATTACATGTTTCGCCCAATAATGGGCATCATCAGACCTTAAACTGAACTCTCGGAGTGAGTGTTTAGAACAGACGCATACATTCAATACATCTTTACAAGAGAAATTTTTAAAATAAGATGCATGTTTTAAACACTCACTCCGAGAGTTCAGTTTAAGGTCTGATGATGCCCATTATTGGGCGAAACATGTAACCTTGATATTAAAAATTTTTGAGACCACGACTTGGTGTTTTTTTCACAAATATAATTTGCAGATAGTTACCATCAAGTTTCTCTGAAGATGAATAAACCGAGCCTAAATACAACAGAGCTTTTTGGATATTACTTGAAAAGTTTTGGGTTTTAGTGAAAAAGATTAATTTTATACTTAATGATAAAAGAATAAAATGGCCATACATCACATACATAATGTTTATATTTATATTTTGCGTGAAATCACAATTGAAGGTTCAATATATTGCCTTAAAAGGCTGATTTAAATATCAACTAAATGACATGCAGCCTTCTCGAAAATTGCAAATTTCACTCGTGTTTGAAATTGATTATTTATAATTGGCCATGCTGAGTCTACATCAAAGACTTCCGATCAAACATGAATACGAAATGATGCAAAAGGAAAGAAATAAATTTGCACTACCAATATATTTTTTTGTTTATACATTGTTTATTGTTGTGCATTAAGAGTGTTATGTACTCATGTACCTTTGATGAACATGATTTCTTTTCTAGGTCGGCAAAAATCGTTCCACATGAGTAAAATAAAACTTGTATGCCTGAAACGTCCCTTTCTCTTTACTCTATATGTACTCCTCTAGGTTAAGCCCTACTACATGACTTCCAGACAAAATATAAATATAAACTTTTTTCTCATAAAATCTTACACAAATTACTCAAACCACTACTTTTAAGGGTATATCTCAATAGATATGACAAAGCAAAAACGTATAAGATTTAAAACTTCTACTCAGTTAAAAATAATAGACACAGGGTAAAATATCTAATTTTTAGTAACTATCATATCATGTTTTGCCATAACTTTTAAAAAATTATCACATACATTTTGTAATACAGTATCTTTCATTATATCTAAAACACCATTTATTTTAATCAGGCTTTATTACAGAAATCATAGGTATTGAGTCTTTGACCAATATCAACTGAGCCCACAAGTATGTGAACGAACCTTCTCGGACCAAAAGGGAAATGTAGGAACCGAGGATGGAACGATCAAAATATTTTTAAAAAAATCCAAAGACTTGACACAAGAAAGGAAGCAATGATATATAATTGTTACATATTGAAGCATCATTAGCTCTGTTCCAACCGACATGAAAACCGTTCTAGAACGGTAATTTTCCGTCGATCAATTCATTTGTCAATTGGGTAAACATTCAACTTATTGAAAAATAGGTGGGCAACTGGAAATTACCGTTCTAGAACGGTTCTCATGTCAGTTGGAACAGAGTGAGTTGTGTTCCATTTTAAAAACTTCACCATGTTTTCTACATAATTTTCATTTTATGACTGGCCCTGGTTCGGAGGTTTTGGTCCGAAACTATAAGTAACTGGCAACTGCCGAACCATATCCGAAACAGAACAGAGATACCTATACTCTTTTTTTGATTGACCCTGACTATAAAGACTGATCAAAATTTCACCCTTTTATCTTTAACAATAAATTTATTTTCTTTAAACCTCTAATTAGTCTTTGGCGTCTTCCCTTCGCTCTCGTATAGAAGAATGTGATAATAAAGCTGGAGACATCGCTAGAGCTGGATTTGCTACTGCTATGATATTGTCCCCGCTTGCTGCTATAACTTGTACATTGGGTAAAAACTTGCTGGCTTCGTCTTCGTTTTCAGTTGAATCTTCTACTTTTCTCTATATAGGAAATCAAATAGGAATTTAAATTTTAAAAATCCAAAGGTGCGGAGGGGCCGGCCAGCGCTGTTCGCTCTTTAATGGCTGTTTGCACTGACCATTTTAAGGAAGGTTTAACAATAATCAACGCATAAAGTGACAAGTGACGTAAAAATGTCACTTCAAACGTTGACTATCGTTAAACCTCCCTTAAAATGGTTGGTGCTAACGGCCATAAGAGATCGAGTATTCAGGAAAACCGTTGTGTGATTTAAATAAACACACATTTACGTGATTCTAGTAATTTCTAGAATGATTTTTTTTGTGTATAAAAGGCGTGTTTTGTAAGTTAGTGAGCCACTGCAAATAATATAATTTCTGTATGAAGTTAAGCGAAAGCGCGTATTGCAAGTATAGAAATCTTATTTTGAGTAATAGGAGTAGAACAGTGACATTGAATCATTGCCTTTGAATTTTCGAAAAAATTATTTGTACTTACCAAACCAGTTGAACTTGACTCTTGATCCTGCCCCTGAAACTTAAACAATTCGGTTCATATTACTTAGTATTTCCTAAGAAAAGTAAACAAATTATTGCCAATGTATGTATTTACCTGTGGTGAGCTTGAATTGCTGTATGTGTATTGCGATTCTGATTCGTCGATTTCTATCCCTAACGAAGTTTTTTGATTTTCTCTAAAATAAGAAAAAAAGGTAATCTTAGTAATCCCAGAGTGATTTCACTAGCAGTGGAAAATTAACGTACCTTAATGCCTGGTGGTGATTTTTTGGAAATAGAGAATGCATTGATCGCTGGACAGTCTCATCGTAGTCCTAAAAACAAACGACTATTTTGAAAAAGTTACCTACTTCACAAATGAAAAGAGAGATTTTTTTAAAAAATCGTATTTGACTTGGTTGTTATATCAAAATAACCAATTTTTACTCCCAAGCAACAATTTGACAATGGAAGACCACATTCTACACCAATATTGGACAAATTCGTATTTGGTGCAGATACTGCACATTTTCATGACTCTATTTTAGAAGTCGACCAGATGATGTTTTAAAGCGATTGTGTTCACTAAACTTAAAAATGAGTTTTCTGAAAAACATGACTGATCATCCAGTAGACAAAATACTGAATTAGGATTTTATATGAAATCACTTAAGTAGATGAAGTAGGTATTATCGTCTAAAAATTTTGCGGTCGGAAATTGGTCGCTTTTTTGACAAGACAACCTGTGAAAGATTGTCTCATTGCAGTTTACAAAGTCTGCCGACTAAGAGTTGCACTTGACGACGTCCACGAGTGGTCAAATTGTGGCTTGGGCTGATTTTTTTTGCCTGAATCCGAAGGAATTTTTATTATGGTCTCCCATCACCATTTGAACTAATCCCAGCTCATGCAAAGCAGAAGCGAAATATTTGGAGGCGCTTACCTCAATTTGATATCGATGAAGCCTATTTTTTCATCCAAGATAAGTATTTTGCTGAAAACTAAGATTTAGTTAGAATTTTTACTATACCTACTACCCACATTTGGTACAGTAATTTCGCTCTTCAGTCTTCTTGAATATTTGAGCCGATGTACACAAACTTCCATCAGTCAAAACAATTCAATTATCTACCTCTGTTTTTTTTTTTTCAAACTTATTTTTTGTTAATAGTCCCCTTCCCCACCCTGCAATGAGTTTATGGTCCTACATGAGTGAGTAATCTGGTAGATATCCTCCTGACGATAATAACAATATGAAAAATGGGACTTATGAATCACTCCTTACCAACTAGAACTATCACTACACAAATCTATTAGAGCTATTTCCTGCAAGACACTTGTCTACAGATTATAAAATATAAATAAATTGGAGAGGTGAAGAAATTAACTTTTTTCTCCAAAAATAGGTGTATTTTAGTTTAGGGGGTTTCTGTATGTAACGCGCAGTTGGAAATGACTTCCCTTTCATGTTTATTGGGTATGTACAGTGTGGGACAGGAAAGAAAACCGGGCGGGCGGTACTTACATGTCCTATGAACCGCCAGGGTTTCTTTTCTGTCCCGCACTGTCTGGTCAATGTTGTTGGATACAAACTTTCAAGCCACCATGATAAACTGATCTGATTTGTGAGGATTCTGATAATAATTTTTTGAAAAATAGGTGTCTTTTTCCAGGAGTTTGCCTATATTTTACAAAAATACACTAGGTATTAGAGATTTTACTGTTCCAATCACCAAAACACAAATCTCAAAAATTCACTTTAACACTCTCCACTATCACCATAAACAATTTTATATATTTTTTACGTATTGTACTTTTTAAATTTTTTATTTTCTTATGTTGCCTAGCACCACTCTAAGTATATGAAAAAACATTGCTATAACCTATACTTACTCACCGGCCGGCGGTTCTCTCGAACCCGGCGGTTCTCTCGAACCGCCGTTGCACTTACTATCATTATCATAATCCATAGTGACTAGATTTCAGTATAGGTATATATTATTAAGATTTATAACCATTTTACATACATACTTCCATAAATTATTTGTAGATATAAGAGAATTATTTGTAATGAAGTAACCTTTTTGGATTAAAAAGCGCCTCATTCCAGTCATACCTACATAAAAATGATAAAATTTTTATCACAATTTTTTTCAAAAATCACACATACCTACATATTTTCAATCACAATATTTCAAAAGAGATATCACATTCTTACAAAAAAAAAAGAGAATTGCACCAAATAAAATTAAAATCACAATACAATATTATAAAAAAAATTAACAATAAATACCTATATAATTGACCATTTCTTAATCTTAACTTTTTCTACTTACCTTCTGTCCTGAAAAAAAAAAAATCTATTTTAGGAGATAAGCAAAAGCAAAATTAAAGCCCTATTTAGTTGCCAACATTTTCAAGAAAACCAGGTAGAAAAAAATATTGGCAAAATGAAATAAAAATAAAAAGCAACAAAAAAGTGCAATATTGCTAACAACAAAATTTTCAAAAGTACCTTTTGAGAAACTTTTAGAATATTACACTCTCATGATTTTAAAGCTTGATTAGTAATGCATGCAAGAAAGCTATAAATGAAGCATTAAAATTAATCTTCTAAATTAATAAAAGCTTGTGGATGTGCGTCCTGCAAATAGCGTCTACTGTGCTTTGGGTATTGGCTGACCTGACGTTGTTCATCGCTGTCAGACGTTGGTTCAATTTTTATTCTTTTGTGGTGGTGAGTTTCTGAGTCTATTGGAGTAGATTTCAAATAGTGCGTTCTGTTTTGTGAATTACTATCTAGATGCTCTCTTTCATGTCCCATACTCGTTGATTGTTTATTCAGATAAACAGAGGATAATCTAAATAGCAACAAAATTTTTTTTAAAAAAAAATAGGAATAAGTCTCTGGGTCAGTTTTGATATACTCTAGCTTGGATATGAAATTAAATTCGATATCGATTTTCTATAATAATGATGTACCTATATGATAATAATTACTGAAGCCGTTGCAGAATTTCAATAGGAAAACAATTGACTGCATTTTGTGTATACTACCCTGTAGACTGTAGACTATTGCATTTCAGGATTACGGAAGATTCTATTAAATAATCTTAAATCTTCTAAACCTTAGATAAAATGACAGTTTTCAGAAAATCGCGTTTGTAAAAGTAAAAAATTATATTTTAAGTTACTTTTAAAAGTAAACTAGATTCTATTTTAGTTTGCTCATAGAAGGTTTCGGTGATGCACTCGCCGTTATCAACAATTTAGCCAGAAACTCCTTGGAAACTTTGTCAACTGACTTCATAGGTAACCATAGGTTTCACAGGATCTCTATTTCTATACCTAATCCTAAAATCCTAAGCAGGTACACACTGAGGGTGTCAGAACCTTGTCGTAAAATTTTTGGTATTTGAATGAATTTGATTTTCAAACTTTAGACATGACAATTGACCAGTGTCTTCTATTTGATGCAACTTACTGTGTTTTTGAGTAATAACACCCAGAATCTTTAACTACTTGTCTTGCTAAGGGAAAAAGCTCATCTCTTCTAGTTAATAATGCAGGAACGCACCTACAAATTTGAGCTGCTGCCTCATTTACAGAAACTTCGTGAAGTGTTAAAGGTTTTTCTGGTTTCCTTTTACAATCAAACCTGAGAAAGAACAAAATAAATATAGGTAGTTTTAAAAATTTAAATACAGGGTGTCTCAAAACGACCCAATAACTATCCTGAGTCGCAAATAAAGGGTGGAAGTGGATGGAAGATGGCATTGCTGTTGAGGTCGGTCTTTAAATTTTTAATTTCTAGTAGTCATCATGCCTTTCACGTCGCACACCACTAGGGGCTCTATTGAAGCCCTGCAGGAGTTGTTCCCCGGAAAAGTCATTTCAAGAAGGGGTCACATCGAATGGCCGTCTCAGATCCCTGACCTGATCAAACCTGATTTTTTCTTGTTGGATTATCTTATGTCTATTGTTAACCCACGAAACCTGGCAGATTTAAAAGGGAAAATTGAAGAAAAACCTGTGTTCAGAAGTCTCTGTGAATACTTTGAAGAGTGCTGCGAACTAAATGACCGTCATTTATTAAATAATGCCATTTTCAGGTAGTGATTTTTTTTCTGTCTTTAGATTAACAACAATAAATGATAATAACAATAAACAGATTATCGGTTTTAAATTTCATTCAAAATAGTTGAGTCGTTTTTAGACACCCTGTATTTTTGATATTTCTTATTTACCTGCCATAAATCGCAGCATATCTTCTTATTTCATCCATTCTCCTAGGATCATTCTCAGGCATGGACATCACCAATTCCAATTCTTTGCATACTTTTTTCTTGGCGTTTTGTGGTTTTGGTTCTAAATTTGGTAACCTTTTACTCAGTCTTTCTGCTGCAGCAGCCAATTTGGCAATTTGACTTTCCATTAGAGCTGGCGACACTACTGACGATGAGCTGCCTCCAGGACTAGAACTACTCGATGGGGGACATGCGGGATCAAGAGGAGAATAAGGCCTAGAGCAAATTGGTGCTATCAACTATTGTTCCCATTCAATATAAATTATTCTTATCAGTTTCATACCTTTTGTTATTTATATTTAAACCAGGGCTAACTGAAGGAGGTAAGGCACAAATTTCAGCTGGGGATGGCGAATACATTGTTCTACTATTTTCTCCGCTATCTGCGGAATAAAATACATGGTTGCTAGTCACTCTAGGGCTAGATAATTCGAGTTCGAAATCTTCGCCTGGAACAAGGGGTATCTTGAACTTTATGGGATTCGTTACCCACTCTTGCAGTGACTTTTGCAACCTCCTTACGTGAAGAGGTTTTGAGGCCATCCCTAGAAAAAAAATAACATATTATACAGTGTGTCCACGTAAGTTCGCAGCATATGGGAAACTTTTTTATTATCAATTTTACGAAAAAAGTTTATTCTTCATAAAAGTTTCTGCTTCTTGAAAAAATTATATTAAACTACTAAAACTTGCAATAGAATGTATAGGGTAGTCAAAAAATAGAAAAATAGACAGGGTGTTCCTAAGTACGGTTCGTAACTTCAGGATGTGATTCCTTACAATATTTTAAGAAAAAAGTTCCCAAACATGTGTCCGGAAATGCGTAATTTCTGAGATACAGGGTGTCAAAGTTTTAGACAAAAAACTTTGTTTTTAGTTCAAAAATCCCTTTTCCATTTTTTGTTCAAATTTTGCAGGTTTGTTTGTGATAACGAAAGGTATATCTTTTGACTGTAATATGACTATTTTTTCAAGAAGCGGAAACTTTTATAAAGAATAACTTTTTTTCGTAAAATTGATAAAAAAAAAGTTTCCCATATGCTGCGAACTTAAGTGGACGCAATGTATATACATTTTTCAAATTCAGTTATTTAACTTTAGAAAATACATGAAGATGGTGTTCATTCAATTAACATTTAGCTTTTGAGTGCAATTTTAGCAAGTTAAATCAAGAATTCAAAAACCCGGCGAGAGTTTACAAGAATTCGAATCGAAAGTTTCAAGTTTCAAGGCTAGTGAGTTTGGCGTTTCCTGCAGCTGGGGAAGACATGCAGGAATGGATGGCAGTATCTGCGTTTATTGATGGTCAGAGATTCCAAGATCCAGAAAAACCTGAGAATGCCCAAGTTCAGACAAAGTAGCGAAGCCCTTGTCCGAGCATTAGAACTGGAAGCTATCTTTGGTTCCTCACGACCCAGAATACGAGCAGTGTCCATTGAAAACCCAAAGGATAAATAATCGTCAAAAGAGGATAGTAGCTTTCAGAATGTTATGAGTAATTTCACGGAGAAAATGGATACAATGGAGGTCAGGAAACGACTCCAGACAAACACCAACACCGAGAAACCGGGTAGAATGTTACCTGTGCCATAAGTTTGGACATATTCAACGAGATTGTAGAGTAAGGATGTCCTCTCCATCTAGAGATCGTTTCCAACGCTTTTCGAGATCTAGAGACGCCAGCCCTAATAACAGACAGGAAAACGAGAACTAAGCAGTATGGAAGGACGAATGCTGGTTAGTAATGACGAATCCCCCAGGGTTGTTTACATAAAATCATTGGACAGTCAATATAGAGGATTAAAATTCGAAGGACAAATTAATGTAGAATTTAAAAACACTTTTGATACGGGTGCTGAAGTTTCTGTAATTAGGAAAACATTAGTCAAGGCTCGGGCAATCCAACCTCTCACTAGAAACCTGTCACTACGAACAGTCTCGGGCGAATCGGCACCAGTTCAAGGAGAAGCTAATGTTGAGCTTACTTTTGGATCTACCATCTTCAGGCACAGAACATTAGTCGCCGATATGGAGGATGATTTTATCTTGGGAATGGATTTGATCGGCCAACATGGTTTTTCGTTCGATCTTCTATGAACATCCAAATTTGGTAATGAAGAATTTGTCCTAACTACGCAAGAAGAATCTCAAGCCGTTAAGATCCTGGCCACAAAACCGGTGAGGATTCCTAGAAGTACTGAGAAGATCATTTGCGGAAAATTGGAAACAAACCCTGGGTGCTGCGTTGGACTAACACATACTTTTATTGGAGATAAACCAGAAAAATTTCTCGTTGGAAAGACTCTAGTAAGAACAAATGGAGACATTTCGATAAGAATTGCCAATGTTTCTCCTGAAAGAGTAAAAATAGAGGAAGGAGATATTATTGGAACACTCGAACCAGTTAAGCAAATATCGAACTGTGACCTATCAGATAAGCCACATTTTGCAAAACCGAACAACTTGATGCAGACTTTGGCGAAATCATGGATACACCTCGATCCAGATAGACTTTAAGAAGCCACATATTTCATTTTCAAAGAAGCAGACGTATTTGTGATGGATAATCAAACCGGAAGGACCAGTTTAATTCAACATAAAATTGATACTGGATTGGCACACCCTATTAGACAACCACCACGACGTATGTCAGTAGCTAAACAACAGGAAGTGGAAAACCAAATTGATAAAATGATTCAAGAGGGAATTATTGAAGAGTCAAATAGTCCATGGTCTGCGCCAGTAATATTGCTTACGAAGAAAGATGGGAGTCTTAGATTTTGTGTAGACTACCGTAAGCTTAATGACGTCACCAAGAAGGACAGCTTCCCTCTCCCGAGGATAGACGATACCTTAACAACTCTATCAGGCTCCAAATGGTTTTCCACCTTGGATCTTGAAGGGGGTGTGACCCAAAAATGAAAGTTTTAGTGCAAAAAAATCTAAGAATAAATATTCAAACCGTTTTCACGGGAGATCTTAGAATTTTTTTCTTGATTTAATTAGTTTAAGTCGTTTTTTAGGGTCACATCCCCTTTAAGAGTGGATACTGGCAAATGGCAATACACAAAGATGACAAAGAGAAAACTGCCTTCAGTACTGGAAGCGGATTATACCAGTTTAGCGTAATGCCTTTCGGATTGTGTAATGCTTCCGCTACGTTTGAGCGACTGATGCATCTAGTTTTGCGAGGTCTTACATGGAGAACTTGTCTGGTATATTTAGATGATGTCATGATCATGAGACATTCATTCCAAGAACATCTCAATAACCTGAAAGAAGTTTTTGATCGCTTCCGAAATGCCAACTTAAAACTCAATCCAAATAAGTGTTTTCTATGTCAAAAGAATTCTTAGGTCACGTAGTATCTGAAGATGGCATACAAGTTATGGAAGGAAAAATAGATGCTGTCAGGGATTGGCCAAAACCGCGCGACAAACATGAACTAAGGAGTTCTCTAGGATTATGTTCTTATTATCGAAGTTTTGTGGAAGGATTCGCCAATATAGCTGCTCCGCTTCACCGATTAACGAAAAAAAAAACAACATTGAAC